CTGTAGTCTACATTTATACCTTCAGATTTATACCAAGGAGTGATATAACCAAGGTCAAATGGTGGTTTCATATTTAATTTTTTGAGGAATCTCCATACTGCTTTCCAGAGTGGTGTCACCAATTTCAGTCCCACCAGCAATGTATGAGTGTGCCCTTTTTTCCACATCCTCATCAATATTTATTGTTGTATTCTTGATTGTTGTCATTCAGACTGGATTCAGATGGAATCTCACTTAATTTGCATTTTCAAATTGAACATTATTTCATATATTTGTTGAGCATTTGTATCTCCTCTTTTGTGAAGTATCTGTTCAGGAGAGGCACTTGGGTGTGAATTAGAACAAGATACATTCCATGCTTGTATAATTATTTATGTCAAAATGTATTCTACTGTCTTGTATAAATAAAAAGAACCAATAAAATAAATAAATGGAACAAAAAGTGTGGGGATTTCTATGAAAAAAGAAGAGCAAACTATGGAGTAAAAGGGAGAAGGAATGCGGAAAGGGGGCACAGTGGAATGAAATTGACCAAATTTTGCTATGTACATTGAATATAACACAGTGAATTTCATCATTGTGTATATCTATAAAGCATTAATTAAAAAACAATAAATTGGGCTGGAGCACTCAGTGGTAGAGTGCTCAGTGGTGGAGCACTTGCCTAGCATGTGTGAGGCTCTGAGTTTGATTCTCAGCACCACATATAAATACATACATAAAATAAAGGTATATCAACAACTAAAAATATATTTAAAAAAAATAAATTACGAGGAGAAAGATCAGGAGCATAGAGGAAGGGAAACAGGAAGAGTAAAGAGGGCAGTGAAGAGAGACGTACTAGGGACTAAAATAAAGCAAATGATATTCCATGCATGTTTAGCTATGTCAAAATGAACCTCACTATTGTGCACAACTATAATGTATTAATAAAAACATTTTTTAAAAGACATACATAAAAAATTCACAATCTAGGGTTGAGGGGCAAATAAACAATAATTATGAAACATGGAAATGGAATGAATTCTATTATGTATATTATAATAGAACCAAATAGAACTCCTAAGTAAAAATTCTGGGAGAAGTAAGTCATGAAATGCCGCAAGAGAAGATACTGCCTCATCCTGGCCTCGTTGAGCAGTGTTAGGTGTTCAGGTGAAAGGGACCAGAGATGAATTTGAGGCCCAAAGGAGCATGGGACAAAAGGCCTAGAGGTATCAACAACCAGTTAATGTAAGGTTCTTGCAAGATACCAAAAAGCAGGCAGTGCTTTGTTGATGGAGATTAGGTCCTGAGGAGGAAGTAGGAGTATATCATACCATAGGAATGGATAAGGTAATAAAGGTCCTGGTATTGGCATACTGGAGGAGGCTGAACTTGACCCTGTATACCAGGAGGCAGGAAATATTTTTAGTAACAGATAGAGGATCTCCTTTGCAACTACCCAGCTCTGCCATTGTGACATTAAAATAGCCTCAGACAACACAAAAACAAGTAGGCATGGCTATGTCAATAAAACCACTCACAAGTACAAGCAGTGGGCCATTAAACAGTGATATGCCAATCCAGTGTAGGCAACAGAATGCCACTGAAGTCAGTGTCATGTGTACATAACTACTTTTTATATGAGCACTATAGTGACCAGGAAATAGAAACAATAAGAGTCACTTCCTCTTTCAGGAAGTCTGCAGAGAGCTGGGGCTGTAGCTCAGTGGTAGAGTTCCTGCCTTGTACATATGAGGCACTGGGTTCGATCCTCAGAACAACATAAAAATAAATAAAGATATCGTGTCCACCTACAACTAAAAAAATGTATTATGAAAACAAACAAAAAAAAGAAGTCTGACAGAAAAGGGAAGAGTAGGTTACTTATATGGCATACCAACCTTGACAAATTTTATAGAAACCAAAATATCAGTAACTTGTTCAGTTTGAACATAAACTTATTTTTTTATGTCAAAATAAGATGATGTCATAGTTTGGATGTAGCAAGTCCATCAAAAGCCCATATGTTAAAGGCCCAAGGGTGAACTTTTTGGTTAATGGTGGAAACATTAAAGGTGGGGGTTACTGATGGGAAGTTCTTAGGTCATTGGATACATACCTCCAAGGGGAACTGTGGGATCCCTAGTCCCCTCCATCATCTCTTTGCTCCCTGTCTCTAAATGTAAGCAGCTTTGCTCTACCATGAAATGCTACCTTAAAACAACAAAGCCAACTGGAACCACTAAAACAGTGAGCCAAAATAAACCTTTTCTCTACATGTTAATTGTTTGGGGAATTTTATTACAGTAATGGAAAGCTGACTAATACAGATAATATTAACTCTCTTCTGTTAGAGCAAATTGAAGAAGGAAATTTAAATCCAGATTGCCTTTTGAAAGTAATCTAAAATCTATAACATTGAAAACCAAAATTGGACAGGGAACATCTGGAAATCCCCATGGCTTAAGAATAAACCTGCCTCAGGGTCTGATGCTATCTACAGAGTTTATAACTTGGTTTCTTTATTCCTAAAATGCTCCCAAACAGGTCTACATAAGGGAGGTTAAAATAGTTCAAGATCCTCAAAGACAGATTATAAAAGCCAGAAAGTATATAATGCTTTACTCTGAAACATAGAAATACATTAATTAAAAAAATGCTGAACTTTTCATGTCATATACTAGTTCACTTTAAGACTGTAGAACGAATCAGACACGATTTTCCTGTGTTCACATATCAATACATGACCAGTGTAACTCCACATCATGTACAACCACAAGAATGAGTGCTCCATGTATGTATGATATGTCAAAATACATTCTACTGTCATGTATAACTAAAAAGAACAAATTTAAAAATTTTAAAAATACTTTACTTACAGCAAATTGATTTAATAAACGAATCCCCCCCCCATTCCATGCCCACTGTCCTCATTTTCTCATCAATGTACATCACACACAAAACTGTATTGACCTGATGAGGCAGGTATTATTTCCATTTTCAAATGAGGGAAGCAAGGCCTAGTGAAGGAAAAGCCTCATCAAAATTCTTATAGTCACTAAGTGTTAGAGCTAAAGACTTGGCCCCTTGTGTGTCTGGCTCACATTCTTGTGCTTCTTCCCTGAGTCCTATCTCTCTCCTGTATTTTGGAATGCCATAACTATCTGTAATTGTCCTAATAATTTTTAAACAATCTTAAATTATCGGTCTCATAATTGACTAATATTGACAATATAGAGAGAATTAAAAAACCCAACAGCTAGAAAGCAACCCAATTAAAAAATGGGCAAAGGCCATAAACAGACATTTCTCTAAAGAAGACATATAATGGCAAATAGGTATGTGAAAAAAATGCTCAATATCACTAATGATCAGAAAAATGTAAATTAAAACCACAATGGGTTTGCATACTACATCTGGTAGAATGGCTTTTATAAAAGAATAGCAAGTCGTATCAAGGAATGATAGAAAAGGGAACCCTTGTACACCATTAGGGGGTATGTAAATTAGCACAACCATTTTGGAAAATGCTATGGTGTTTCCTCAAAATATTAAAACTAGAGCTATCATATGATCAAACAGTTCCTCCGCTGGGTAGATACTCAAAGGAAAGGAATTAGTGTGTGAAAGAGATAAGGCCCTCTTGTGTTTTTTGCAGTAGAGTTACAAAAGCCAGGGTTCAGCATCAACCTAAGTGTCCTTCAAGCAAAGAATTGATAAAGAAAATATGAGACACACACACACACACACACACACACACACACACGCACAGGAGAAATACTATTTGGCCTTAAAATATAAAGCAATATTGTCATTTGTAAAAACATTGATGAAGTTGAAGGCTATTGTGTTAAGTGAAATAAGTCAATCACAAAAGGGCAAATACTGCAGCACTCTTATGTTTAGAATCTAAAATGTCAGTCATTGACATAGAGAGTAGAATGGTGGTTTCCAGGGTCTGGGAGATAGGGAGAAGGACATAATGGAGGTCTGTGTTAAAGAGTTTAAAGTTTCAGTTAAACAGGAGATTGATTGTACAGTGCTGACCATCATTAATACTAATCCACTGTGTATTTGAAAATTGCCAAAAGAGAAGCTTTTAAATGTTTTCAGAACAAGAAAATAGTATGTGAGGTTAAGGATATAAAAGTTAGCTTAATTACATTGTTCTACAATGTATACATGTCAAAAATCATATTGCACTGCATATATAAAGGCAATTATTTCTCAATTAAAAATAAAGCTTTAAAAAATAAATAAAGATTTAAAATTTTTAAGAAGGGAACATTGTTTCTAGTACTACTTTACAATCACTTTCTCAAAAAAAAAAAAAGACACCAGCCAAAATTGTTAGAATAAGGGAGGACCCTTTTAAACAAAAGCAGGGAAACAAGTCTTTAAAGTCCCTATTTTAAAAGCATAACTTCCCAAAGTGGCAGCTTCTTGAACTCTTAAACACTTACCACTAATTCCCATGTACCAAATGTTTTCCAGGTACATTTTGTTCCAGATTGTGGCTCCCACACAGCTCACTGCAGATATCACAAAGAGTAGTAGCAACAAAATGAGGATCTGCATGTTGGTTACTTTCTCAACCTGTGATCTCTTGAGAGGTGATTTGATGGAATTCTGCACAATAGCACATTTATTCATGTTCACACAGCAGGCACACATGCACATATATCCAAAGAACAAAATACACACACATACACAAACACAAACATACACACACATACAGAATTATACTGTAAAAACAAGATAATTGCAATTTGGTAATAAATATCTGGTAAGAAATAATTTTGAAAAGCTGAAGAAATATCTAAAATGAGAGGGTATAATATGAACCTGCCTTTAAATTTCAGAGTAATAAAGAGGAACGAGCCTCCTGAATTCAAAAGATATATACTAAACTCCCTCACTTCATATAATCAGAAGGAAACATCCAGAATCAGAAAATTCGTCATCACAGACTATTTTACCTGCATCAATTTGGTTTCAAATCCAGTGTAAATGACTACACCAATGATCCACTGTGTATTTTTCAGCTGTGTACCTCTCAGCAACATCTGGTCAGGACCAACTGAAATAGGACTAAAAATAAGAAAGAGCATTTATAAAGTACCAAAGAAGTCCTTTTCTCACAGTGTGATAACAAAGCATAGGCCTTGTTATGGTTTGGATAGACGGTGTTCCCCCAAAGCTCCTGTGTTAATGCAGGAATGTCCAGAGGTGAAATTATTGGATTGTGAGAATTGTAGCCTAATCCACCTGAGTTTTAATAGACTGGGTAGTAACTGTTGTCGGGTGGGGTATGGTTGGATGTAGGTATTCTGATCATGGAAATAGACAGGGGAGCATTCCCCAAGTGAGCAAACTCCCAGGGGGTAACTGGAGCCCTAATTCCCAGGATTGGAAGGCCCAGCCTCCTCCCTGTGAGGTAATAAGACAATCGTGCAGGCACTACCTAGTTTCCTTAAACCTGTCCTTGGAGAGAAGGGGCTCTGTGTCTGTATTAACCTGGACTTTATCTCAGTTAGCTGGCACTCGGGTGAAAGAAACGCTAATTAGAATATGGTCATGGTCACAGGGGGTATGTGTTCTTTGAGTTCACTTCTGCACTTCTTCTTCACCACTTCACTCCTCTCTGCTCCTCCTGTCTGTCTGCTGTGTCTGTCTGTTCTTTTGTGCTCCTCCTCACAGGTTGTCTCCACAGGTGATCCTTTACAGTTGGAGAAGGTGGATCACTGAAGGTATACCCCAAAAGGGCTCGTCTTCCCTGTGGTCTCTCTCTCTCTCTCTCTCTCCTCTCTCTCTCCTTCCTGACCATGCCATGAACTGAGATGTTTTCCTGCCCTGGGACCTCACCCTGTGATGCATAGCTTCACCTCAGGCCCCAGGCCATGGAGTTGGCCATATTTGAACTGAGGCCTTTGAAACCATAAACCCCCAACAAACTTTCCTTCCTCTAAATTGTTCTTGACTGATATCTGGCCTTCAGTGACACAGAATTTAAAACTAGCCTTCACCTTACATATATTTCTTTTTGGCAACTTCAACTCTGGAAGCAGACGACAATAAAATAGATGTTTCTTTATATAGTCACCTATTTCTAAAAGAGCATGAAAAAAATTTTTTCTTTGGTGTCTACTGCT